ATTTCTTTGATCAATGACTTGTCTTTTAAATAGTTAGGACTGCAATAGGAAGATAAAAAAAAATTACACAGCTTAAAATGTTATGTATCACGATATACAAAAATATATAAGGTTTTTGTATCAGGATATATTACTTTTTTGTGTGTATTGTGTAAGTTACATAGTATTATGTTTCTTGAAATTAATTTTTTTTTTATTTTGAACAAAGAAAAATGACTTGTAAATTTTATAGTCAAAATCTCTTGATTGAAAGAGAAAAATGAAAGCACTGAGTTTGCTGAGGGACAAAAAAAAATTAAAAAAAATAAAAAAAATACACGAGCGATTAGAAAAAGATTGTAAAATGTGGACATGAAGTGTGCTAAGCTTAAAAGTTTCATTTTGATTGTTCAACATTTAAAAGACAGGATAATTTGAAGATATTAGACATTATATAATAGTCTGACTGGTTTATTATGTAAATCATTTTTAGCTCTGACACCTGAGCTGAAAGCTCAAGTGAGCTTTTCTGATCACATTTTGTCCGTAGTCCGTCTGTCCGTCCGTCTGTAAACTTTTCACATTTTCGACTTCTTCTCCAGAACCACTGGGCCAATTTTAACCAAACTTGCCACATCCTTGGGTGAAGGAGTTTAATTTTGTTCAAATGAAGGGCCACGCCCTCTTCCAAGGGGAGATAATTAAGAATTGGTGAAAATTTGGTGTCACGCCCTCTTCCAAGGGGAGATAATTAAGAATTGGTGAAAATTTGGTGTCATCTTTTAAAAATCTTCTTCTCAAGAACCATTGGGCCAGAAAAGTTGAAACTTATGTGAAACCTTCATTACATAGTGTAGATTCAAATTTTTTCAAATCATGACCCCCAGGGGTAGGATGGGGCCACAATGGGGGATCCAAGTTTTACATAGGAATATATAGGAAAATTCTTTAAAAATCTTCTTCTCAAGAACAACAAAGCCACAATTAGTCATATTGATATGGAATCATCCTCAAGTAGTGTAGATTCAAAATCGTTCAAATCATGACCCCCAGGGGTAGGGTGGGGCCACAATGGGGGATCAAGTTTTACATAGGAATATATAGGAAAATTCTTTAAAAATCTTCTGCTCAAGAACAACAAAGCCACAATAATTCATATTGATATGGAATCATCTTCAGGTAGTGTAGATTCAAGTTTGTTCAAAACATGACCCTCGGGGGTAGGGTGGGGCCTCAATGAGGATCAAAGTTTTACATAGGAATATATAGGGAAAATCTTTAAAAATCTTTTCAAGAACAGGAAAGCCATGATTAGTCATATTGATATTGAAGCATCTCCAAGTATTGTAGATTCAAGTTTGTTCAAGGCATTCCTCCAGTAGTAGGGTGGGCCATAATGGGGGATTAAAGTTTAACAAAAGAATATATATAGGAAATATCTTTAAAAATCTTCTTCTCAAGAACAACAAAGCCATGATTTGTCATATTGATATGGAAGCATCCTCAGGAAGTGTAGATTCAAGTTTGTTTAAATCATGACCCCACCCCCAGGGTAGGGTGGCAGACATCTTTAAAACTCCATTTTCAAGAACAGAAAAACCATGATTAGTTATATGAATATAGAAGAATCATCAGAAAGTTAGATTCAGTTTCATTCAAAACATGGCACCTGGGGGTAGGGTATGCCTAGAACAGGCGATCAAAGCTTTACATATGAATATATAGGAGAAGAAATCTGCTGACGAAGAACAGCAGGGTCATATTGACTCAGGTGAGCTTTGTGGCCCATGGGCCTCTTGTTGCTTTATAGCCATGATTTCTGATCTGCTACCCTCATCGCTAAATTAAGCTACATAGCTGAATCAAGAGAATGTGCCATACCTGTATATACAGGGCATCTATTTCATCAAATTTGAAAATGTTCTGAATTTAGAAGTTGAAATTTTTGTTGAATAAAAAAATATTTACATAACTCTCTTTCATAGTTTCCATGAGAAAATATATATTATGCTATGGATACAATTACCATATATTTTTTATTACAATAGAAAACTATTCTTTCATATGGGTGTTAAAAGATCTCTATATGAATATTGTTGCACTAAACTATTGCAAACAAAAAATTGCATATACCAGTGAATAGAGTTTTGAAAAAGAAATACTCAGATGACACCCTACAGTGTACTAGGAAACAGATTTTTCAAATTAAGTCCACATTTGAGCAGTATCGGAACTTGGAGACAAAATGAAGCTGCTGCCTGAGAAACACAACACAGCAATTTGGAACACTGAATGTGGCACATGGCGTTATTTGGAAAATTGCCTCTGATGTCAATTTTTTTTTTTTTTTGAAAAATGTCTGTATTCAGAATAAATGATTCAGTTTTATCTTAACGTTTATACTGATGAAATTATATAGACATGACTTGTTCTTTATTTTTATCCTTTTTCCTCTTTTGCTTCTGTTTTTATTTAAACTGGAAAGTCAGGACATGATTGCTGAAACACTCTGTATATTCATCTACCAAGATAGCTAGTTGTCTATACATCAATACATGTACATAAATGACGCTTAGAACTTGGTCCTGTAAAATTGACAAAACTTTGGGCTAAAGGTTTATTTTAGCTGTTAGAACTTGTAAAAAAATACACATTTTTCAATAAAAATTCAAAAAAAAAAAAAAAAAAAAAATAATGCCAAAAATATGTTACATATACATGATATAGAAAACTCTATATTGATTCCCCAGGGTGTTGACACTACAAATGAATGTAAAAAGAAAATGCATTTTACATCATGTAGATTGTGATTCACTGTCAAAAGCATGAAATGTTGAAAGAGAAAGTATAGACTTTCATATATTGAAAATAATGTTTTTACCAGCTGTTATTTTCTTTATGTAATCTTGGTGTTATTTTAATGCTTTTTTCCTAATTGTTTAATCAGCTGATTGTGTCATATGTACCTTTTTACGTTTTTTATAAACACATACTTCTGTATATGGGGTATCGTGCCGTCATATGTTTCCGATAGTCATATGTTTCCGATAGTCTATTTTCGTCGCGTGAGTTTTCCCTAAAATGACGTCATATTTGTAATTACTAAGGACACCTGACGTAGGGAATCTCGCAACATCAATATATGCAAAAGATCGATAATATGCTGCGTGCAAAGGTAAATATCATAAAAATAATGCAATCAGTGGTAAAAATACTCATTTTTCTTATTACCAAAAATTGTGGTCATCAAAATAGTATGAAAACCCTTTTAATTCGCACTGTATCTAAAGACGCTCATCATCTGATAAAATACACTTCCGGTGAGGTATTTTGGTATTGAAATTTATCATGTGACTCTATCAGTTTTTCTATGTATGGAAGCCTAAAACCGTCATAAAATTAGATGATTTGCGTAAATAACGTCACTTTTTTGTAATATTTTAGGCAGTATCAAATAAAAGAAAACGTTGTTATTCCCCATCTGCACTTGTCAGGGCATATCAAATTGTAAAATGTAAAATTGACAAAACTTTGGGCTAAAGGTTTATTTTAGCTGTTAGAACTTGTAAAAATAAAAATTCAAAAAAAAAAAAATAATGCCAAAAATATGTTACATATACATGATATAGAAAACTCTATATTGATTCCCCAGGGTGTTGACACTACAAATGAATGTAAAAAGAAAATGCATTTTACATCATGTAGATTGTGATTCACTGTCAAAAGCATGAAATGTTGAAAGAGAAAGTATAGACTTTCATATATTGAAAATAATGTTTTTACCAGCTGTTATTTTCTTTATGTAATCTTGGTGTTATTTTAATGCTTTTTTCCTAATTGTTTAATCAGCTGATTGTGTCATATGTACCTTTTTACGTTTTTTATAAACACATACTTCTGTATATGGGGTATCGTGCCGTCATATGTTTCCGATAGTCATATGTTTCCGATAGTCTATTTTCGTCGCGTGAGTTTTCCCTAAAATGACGTCATATTTGTAATTACTAAGGACACCTGACGTAGGGAATCTCGCAACATCAATATATGCAAAAGATCGATAATATGCTGCGTGCAAAGGTAAATATCATAAAAATAATGCAATCAGTGGTAAAAATACTCATTTTTCTTATTACCAAAAATTGTGGTCATCAAAATAGTATGAAAACCCTTTTAATTCGCACTGTATCTAAAGACGCTCATCATCTGATAAAATACACTTCCGGTGAGGTATTTTGGTATTGAAATTTATCATGTGACTCTATCAGTTTTTCTATGTATGGAAGCCTAAAACCGTCATAAAATTAGATGATTTGCGTAAATAACGTCACTTTTTTGTAATATTTTAGGCAGTATCAAATAAAAGAAAACGTTGTTATTCCCCATCTGCACTTGTCAGGGCATATCAGTCAGTGAAACAAGATGGAGTCCCTGTATATAGGGCAGCTAAGGAACATGCTGTTCCCTTAACTACTCTTAGAGACCGTGTTGACAATAGGGTTAACATTGATTGTACAAAAACTGGTCCAGAGCCACTTCTGTCTCAGTTTGAGGAAGCCAAACTTGTAAACCATTTGAAAGAATTAGCTTCTGTTGGATATGGTTATACAAGGACAGAAGTACTCACCATGGCAACAGAAAGAATCGGATGGAAGAAAAATGCTTAAGCATGCAATGGTTCTACAGTTTTATGGGCAGATGGCCAGAATTAAGAGTTGTTAAACCATCAAGTTTGTCGGAATTAAGGGCCAGATGTGCATCAGAAACTTCAATAAGATCATACTTCAGTGAACTTGAATCAATTCTTGATAAGTATAACTTAAAGGATAAGCCCCATTTGATATATAACATCGATGAAAAGGGAATGAATACCGAGTTTAAGCCCCCTAATATAGTTGCAGGAAAAGGATACCATCCTCAAACTGTTATGTCAGAAAAAAAGTAAAACAATTACAGTTATCGGTGCAGGGAATGCACTAGGAAATCAAATCCCGCCATACTTTGTTTTTCCAGGTCAGCGGATGATGCCGGAACTTTTGAGAGGGAAATCCGTTGGTGCTGATGGAACGATGACACCTAGCGGATGGTCAAACTCTGAAGTTTTCCGTTCGTATATGAAAAATCACTTTTTAAAGTATGTTCAAGGTCGAGATCAGTCTGCGACTATACTTGCCCTTTATGACGGTCACAGAAGCCACATTTCTTTAGATCTAATAGATTGGGCTAAAAACAACAATGTTATTCTATTTGTTCTGCCTCCTCACTGCTCACATATTTTGCAACCAATGGATGTAGGTTGCTTTGGACCCTTTCAACTAAAATACAATCAGGAATGTCTATCTTTTTCACGTTTGAATCACAAAACAGTCACCCGTTATGATGTATGTGCTCTTGCTTGCAAAGCCTACACTGCTGCCTTGTCGCCAACCAATATTCAGGCAGCATTTTCAAAATCTGGCATCTATCCTTTTCAATCAGCCGATAGCATGATAGAAAAACTAAAGCAAAAAATTACTCCATCAATCCTCTACCAAAATGAAACAGGAGATAATCTTGAAATTAAAACTGAAGAAAAAAATACCACTGAACCAAATGAACTTGCAACATCAAAAATGACACCTGCAAATTCAGACACAGCCTGCAGAGAGAAACAAACAAATTGCACTGGAGATAGTAACCTATCAAATAATGAAGATTTCTTTTCAAAGAAAGGGGGAGAAGTCCAATGTAAAATTGAAAACTTAAAAAAGAAGAGAAGAAATATCAGTCATGTAATTGGAGGGAAAGCTGTAACTGAGGATGAAACGCTTGGGAAAATGAGAGAATATTTAAACAATACTGCTAAAAAACCAAAAAAATCATGCAACAAATTAACTTCTAAAAGTACAAAAACTGTGAGAAAACCAATCAAAAATAAACAGGAACCAAAGAAGAACAAGAAGTGTATCGCATCATCGGACTCTCAACAGCCTGGACCATCTTGTATCAACCTTACTGATTCAGATGATTATATTCTAAACTCAGATGAGGAAGAACATGAATCGCAGATGAGTGAAAATGAGAAGTGTTGCGTTTGTAAAAATTTCTATGTGAAGTCAAGAAATGTGTATGAAATTGCTATTGTCAAATGGGCTCAGTGTGAGTCATGTGGACACTGGGTTCATCTCCAGTACTGTTCACCTGTTCGTGTTGTCAGGAAAAATACACCATTTAATTGTCCATGCTGTGAATAGATAATATCTACAAAATATAATTGCAATTGAAAACAATTGTGCACTCAAAGAAAATGGTTAACTCACTGAAACATCCATTTTCCAAGCATTATTATTATGCTAGCATTGTATTTCAATACACTAAATATTAGTAAATATTTAGTAGAATTTCATTCATAGTTGTATAATTGCAAATTTAAGATAAGTGTATATGATTAAATATATTAAACATATTTTTACGATAAAATAGCTTTTTATTTTGATTATTGCACCAGTTGTTCACCTTACTTTAGTAAAGAAATATATTGACGAATCAAACTATCGGAAACATATGACGCTCGTTTTGATTGGTCAAATACGGTATCCATTTTATTTATACCTAGAAAATGCATATGATGACGACTTTATGCCAATTTATTGTCGGCGATTTTTAATGCAATGCTTAAGGTTAAAAAATAATAAGATTTAAAAATCATTGAGAAAATTGGGAATCAAATCGGACCTTGGTTGTTGTTAGACTATCGGAAACCCATGACGCCAGGATACTGTTAAAATGCCAAACTTACGTATACCACGCGTTTTGGCATATTCTTACAATTTGGAAACACTTCTTTCTTGTGTGTACATTAGGTAGTAAAAAAACAACAGCAAAAAATAAATAAAATAAACAACTTACGTTTTTAAAAACACATTCTTGCATCATCATGGCCATTTCAACATCTGTATCCACAACTTGTACTGCATTATACTCGGCCGCGAACTATTTTCTCGGCGTTTATGACAAAACTCTTTATACAGTATTAAAATATATTTTAATTCAAATAAATACTCATATTATAAATAAAAACACTTTAAATTACGTCCTTTGATTTTCTCAGATTTTTCGGAATTTTACTTTGGAAAGAACGACTACTCCCTTCAAAAACTGGTTCCCCGCCCCATAATCTAGACGCTAATGGACGAGTTAAATCCCCGTAGACTTTGAATTTACCGCCGTGTCAATACACTGGTTGACCTCGAGGGTTCGTATAAATGCAGGAAGTTTGGAAAAAAACCAATCTATCGATCGAACCTAGGTTGAACGCCAAGGTATTTATATATTTTGAGATATCTTGCAAAAAGTAGTGACGTTCCGGTCGTGGGACAGACTTTAAGATCTTAGAACATTGACTGAAAACAAAAGTACATGTATATTATTCTAAATTTATTAATAAAGCTCAAATAATTCAAGCAATACGTAACATACTACATGTAACCCAGTCAAGCACTAGTAGCACAGACAGAATAAAAGCAATGTGATTAAATTCTAAGAAATATATATAATTGAAATTCATCGCAGCTCAATGCTGCCGAAAATACCTGTATCGAGTAACACAGAGTGAGTTATTCTTGTCCTCGGAGAAAGTGTGCTTATACTGAGAGTTGTTCCGCCTGACTGACAACTGTACGCTGGATTGTTACGATTTGATCTCTCTCTAGTGTTTCTAATATCAAGAATGGGAATGCATAAAGGATAGATAATTGAAGGAAAATACACAAACCTATAAAAAATTTAAAATAGTCTTTCAAAAGGCGAAAATTTAAAACTATAAAAGTGTGGCTCCAGGTGGATTCGAACCCCCGACTTTAAAAAGAAAGGACCCAAGATATAAAAGTCAGCGCATATATCAAATGAGCTATTCTGACTACTAGATTGAATGGTATAAATTTGAATCAGATTGTCAAAATCAGGTTTACTTATTTTTTGTAGGTTTTTTGTGAATTTCTACCCTAGGGCAGGGGTGCCCCTAAAAAAATCCTATCTTAAATTACTCCTTACATCCCAACCTATCAAAATATCACTATTTTATTTAGGGGCAGGCCTGCCCTGAAGGACTTCTAGGCCAAAATTTATGCAAAAATCAACGCTTTAACGGACAAAATGGTGTTTCGGCCAACTTTGGAGGTTTATTGTAAAGTTGTAAATAATAAATTTTAGTTGTAAAATACAAATTTGAAAAGTTAAGACATATATACGGCAGAAAACAACAAATAAAGATTGATTTTTAAATGTCACTTTTTCCGGGAAATTGTTCTCTCCTATAGGTCAATTCTTTTGTAATAGTGAATACATCCTTTTAGAAACCGAACAAACTGTTGTCGGTACATGTACATGTAGTAAATGTGTTCTTGATGGTGGCTTCATTACAACAAATTTATTACATAAACATACATTCTTGTTACGGATCTTACATCTTTTAAAGAAAATGAAAAGGGGGGGGGGTGGAATATGTAGAATACATTTTTCAACATATTTCAAACAAACTTCGGAAAAAAGTCGGATTTTTCTTGATCAAATATATTTAAATACTTGCAATGAACTGGCCTCAACTTTTTTAGATATAAAACTGTTATATCTTAAATTTACACACACTGGGCCCAGGGTTTCAAAAGAAGGCGTGTAGCATCATCACCGGAATGGAAATAGGGGCACGCAGGGGACCATGTTGACACTTGTGAGAACTATCCGTCTGGTGGCAAACTAAAGATCCTATCTTTGAACTGTTGCGGCATCAAACAAAAACTAAAATATCCAGAATTCCAAAACTTTATTGAAAATTATGACATACTATGTTTTCAGGAAACTAAAACTGACTATTTAGACACACTTTATTTAGATGGTTTTGAAATTTATTTGAAAAACAGAAGTAAACAAGGCAAAAAGTGTTCTGGGGGAATTGCATTGGCATACAGGAAAGAATTCAGTAAAAATATTGTAATTCACAAAAATGATAACGATTTTGTTCTTTGGTTTGAACTATCAACAAAAATTTCAAAAACAAATAAAAATATTTTAATTGGAAACGTGTATATTCCCCCAGAAAACTCCAAATATAGCAGTAAAGATGCATTTAGTTTATTAGAAATTGAACTACAAAACATGTTAAAAAATGACAAACACTTAATTTTAACAGGTGATTTTAATGCCAGGACCGGAACAGGATCTGAAATCCACCCTGTTGTATACGAAACCACAGACAAATTTAATGATATTTTTGAAGAATCACAAAGTGAATTTAATTTAACATCAGAACATGTAGAGCGTAATAATGTTGATAAAATACAAAACTGCTATGGCAAATTGTTATTAGAATTTTGTAAGACAAACAATTTATTCATAGTAAATGGTCGAATTGGAGATAATATAAATGGAAAACCAACATGTAAAAGCACAAGTACTGTAGATTATTTTATATGTAACTACGGCTTTTGGAATTATATAGAAAACATGCAAGTTTTGGAGCATAGTTCACTGTACTCCGACGTACATAACCCCCTTGTTTTAAGTATAAATAAACACGAATTAATAAACGAAATGAAAACAAATGTTTCTACAACTGATCTAGAAATGATAAAGCCATGGGATCCGGAGAAAGTCGACATCCCATGTCCATTGAAATACAAACGCGTATTATTTCCTATTGGTGTAAACTTAAACTTGGAAAAGAAACAAAAATATCAAGTCTGCTGTTTAAATTAAGTGATACCGTAAATCAAAAAACAAAGAAGATTGCTTGGATAAATAATGTCTTAAATATCTTAAACGATTGTGGACTTTCAAATATTTGGAACAGTCAAGCCTTCAATCCAAATTGGTTAAGAGCGAAAGTAAAACTAACTTTAATAGATCAATTTAAACAAAAATGGAATTCGGATGTTCAAAATTTATCAAAGACCTTAAATTATAGAATATACAAAGACGAACTAAAATTTGAAAAATATTTAGAAATTCTATCACGAAAAGAAGCCATAAATTTCTGCAAATTCCGTACTTGTAATCATTATTTGCCAATTGAAACTGGACGTTGGTTAAATGAACCAAGAGAGATTAGACTATGTAAGAAATGTCAATTAAATGAAATAGGAGATGAATTCTATTACATATTAAATTGTACGGCAATGACACGTGAAAGAAATAAATGTTTAACACAAAAACAATTACGATTCAAAAATACAATTACATTTAGAGAAATAATGAATTCAGATAAACAGTCATTTTTAAGAAAACTGTGTATATTTATTAAAAAAATTACTAAAACGTGCTCCCCAAACTAGTAAAGACCTATACCTATAATTGTACTATTTGTCTATCCTCATACTCACGCATGCCATATATGTGTTTTTATTTTTCATCATTGTAGTTTACATTTATATCTCGCTATACAATTGTAAAATTGTGAAGAGATCAATAAATTCAGTTCAGACTGAACAATTTGTTTCTGTAGACATTTTCAAATCAGGGCCGTTTTAGGCGTCACAAATTACAAGCACGATTGAGACAATTACCAACAAGCACAGACATATTTATGTGTATATAAAATAATCTACAGTACATGTTTTTGTATATGTTGAAGTTGAGTAAGTATTACACTATTAGTATATGTGAAAGTAATATTGATAATTGAAATAGTTCTACCGTGTACCCAAATGTGAAGTGGTATGATTCAACAATCTTCGCGCGCATTGATAAGATATAAGAGGCGATGCAAAAGTACTAATTATTACATAACATAAGTTTTTTTTAACAACTACACATATTTACACGTTTCAGATATTTAAAGAAATTTTGTGATGTGACTGAATGATTAAAAAATGGTTGCATGCATGTGTATTATTTCTTTAAATATTATATAATTAATAGTCAAAGTTTATAGGAAAGGAAAACATGTGCCCCTGAGAGTGTCCACCCCCAACCCACCGACCCAACACATAAAAGTTTTTTTGTTAAATTTTGATATTGGTTATTTTTTTTTTTCTTGTCTAAAAATTTCTGGTAGGAACCCTCTGTGCTCTTCGGAGATGCATGCATAAAGAAACAAAAAACTTAATTGGTTTCCTCTGGAAAGTACATGAGAAGGGTCCACATGTATCCATACCCGTGAAGTATAGTTTTCACAATTGTTTTGTTCCCTTTTCGTTTGGGTATGTAGGTTTTTTTTTTCTTTTCTTTTCCTTTTTCTTGGCTTGTCAAAAAAGGAGAC